TTGGAGAGGATTTGCAAAGAGGAGTGGGACAAAATCCCTCTTGAGATGTGTGCAAACCTGGTGGCCAACTGCAAGAAACCTCTGACCTGTGATTGCCAACAAGGGTTTTGCCACCCAATACTAAGTCATGTTTTGCGAAGGGGTCAAATACTTATTTCAATCATTAAAATGCAAATCTATAACTTTTTTGAAATGCGTTTTTCTGGATTTTTTTGTTGTTATTCTGTCTCTCACTGTTCAAATAAAAATCAAATAAAATTATACAGTAGACTGATCATTTCTTTCTCAGTGGGCAAACGTACAAAATCAGCAGGGGATGAAATAATTTTTTCCGCATTGAGTATCTGAGTGGCTTATTTGTCTTTGACAATGAGTCATTATAAAATATAGAATAGAGATATTAATCTAACAGCTAATATTTTTAGCAATTATGCTACCCCAAGCTGTCTACTGCATCTCATCTGATTCTGCCATTTTCTTCTATTTGCAGGCTTCTGAGTTACTTTTGCAAACTGTATCCCTACCTTTTCATTCCTACTTCCACAAGCTGTCTGAAATTAGTTCCTGTTTCTTTAAAATTTTATTCTTGCCGTGGCATACTTGGTAGCACATTCCTGGTTTGTTTAGCAGTTGCCCCAGTGATGACAGGACCCCCACATGCTTCTGCTTAGTCTTTGGCTAGCATGCTGGGAAACGGATTGAGCTTTTGTCTTCAAGGCTCCCACTTGGCAGATTTAGCCACCAAATGTAATTCTTGATTGCTGCAGCTGGCACAGTCCTGTAGTTAATTCCCGATTTGCTTTGGAGCATTTTGGGAAGAGTCATGTGTAGTACATACACAGACAGAAACATGATTTAATTCAGTCTAAGCCATGTTCATGTTTCTCCCTGATAACTAGGTACAAATAAAACTAAAGAGGACTGACAATTTGCTTTTCTAAAAAATTAAAGGCAGATTCATATCAAATGGTAGTAAGACTTAATAGCAGGGCTTTTTTTTATCATAGAACGCTCAGAACGGAGTTCCGGCACCTTTTTTGGATGGAACCTTATAGGGTAGGCAACGCGGGTTGTATGACGTGTGTGAGTTCCGGCACCTTTTTTTTTTTTTTTTTAGAAAAAAAGCACTGCTTAATAGTATCTCCCTGGGACCTTGTGCGTGTGTGCATGTGCATGGGTGTACAGGCACATGTCTGCGCATGCGCTCTTGAGTCTTGATTCCTGGTGACTACCTGGACACGTCCCTGCAGTCTTCTTGGCAAGGTTTTAGATGTGATCTGCCCTTGCCAGGGCTGAGACAAAGGGACTGGCCCAAGGTCACCCAGTTGGCTTCATGCTTAAGGTGGAACTCACAGTCTGCCAATTTTTAGTCAGTTGCTTTAAGCACTATGCAAAATTGTCTGACCCTGGAAACTCTAGGCATCCCTGAAAGTAGGAATAGGTAACTGTAGCCCACTAGATATCATTTAACTTCCAACTCTAAGTCATGGAACTGCTGGGAATTGATCAGGCAGTATCTGGTGGATCAATGCTAGCCATCTTTGCATAACTCATTATATTAATGAGTGCAGAAATTCTTTCTCCAGAAGTGCAACCTGACTTTGAGGACCCTTCCAAATGTTGCTGCTAAATTCAATACTACCCATCCTGCAGTATGTATGTATGTATGTATGTATGTATGTATGTATGTATGTATGTATATAATTAATTAATTTTTTAGAATTACAATCTTTAGCGCTTAGTAAACAACATGTTGTCTGGGTTCACATATTTGACATTGCCTTCTTCGATATAAATCTATTCATTACTACACAATCCAGTATTTTTCCCCTGATCCTCCTTTCTTCCCCATATTTTTTCCATTTTCCCCTCATTACACAATTACAATTCTTAATACTATTAATGTAAACAAAGTTAAATATAAACATCTTCATCATATTTTACTAATATTATACAAATAACAATAGTTCATAAATCACTATCCTGTTTTTGTACTCTTGTTAAAATTTAGTTTCCCATCAATATTTAAAGTATCTTTGTCAGTTATGATTTTCTCAATATTAATTACATTTGGATAGCTATAAATTTTATTCATATCAATCCTCCTCTTATTTTCGTATTTCTTTGTTAAAAGAAGAAAAAAATACTATTTAATTCTAAATCATATCATTCATTATAAAAATCTAATTATATCTAAAGATCCTGCATTCTTTTAACTATATTCAAACAAGTATTTAAACATATAATGCCTCCTCTTGATAGGTCAAGTCTATCTTTTAAATCTAACTCTCGCTTTCTGTCTTTGCCAAGTAGCTTTCCATGCCAGCACAATTAAATTGCCCAGGAATTTTCCTTCTGTTTTTGTAAAAGCTGCTTGGCATGAGGAAGACAGTTTAGGTAGGGTATTTTTGGGAGGGAGTTGCACCCATTTATGTTCCTTAAGCAACTCCCACCTTTCTTCTCCCTCAATTTCTCCCCTCCTCTTTTGCCTCCCAAATTGTAACCGTTCCCCTAACAGTTCTATATTCCATTCCCCAAAATCTTCTTTCTTGTCATCAGGTGCCTCTTGCAAACTTAAAGGGTAAAGAGTCTTTTGCATTTCCATCTCTTCCATCTCTAAGTCCAATTCCTCTGCTTCATCTTCCAATCACTGGTTTATTTGTTCATACTTTGTAGTCGTCGTCTGGGAACTTTCTAGTTGTAGCCTTAATTTGGAGATTTGTTCATTTATGTTATCTAAATTATTTTTAGTCTCATTATGATTTCTTTTTATGTCCCCTTTGCATGCAAGAATTGATTGGTGAATTAATTGTAGTGTAGAGTATATTTCCTTCTGAAAGGTGTTTGTTTTTTCTTGAGGCATCATTCCTGGAGATCCTCTAATATCACCAGTCTCAATAAGAGTAGAACAAAGTTTCTTCTAGCTTAAACAGCTCAAAAGTCTCTCCCAGCCAGGCATAGTCCAAAGTCAGATTTTCCTTCTCTCCCACTAGTTCTTGAGATTAAAAGTCCAAGCTCAATAAGTGTTTATAGTCCAAGCAGGTCAAGGTGATAAGTATGCCAAAATATTTTCCTTTATTGCCAATTGTTCTCCCAAGCTAGAAATCACCAAGCAGCCAGAAAGCAAGTTATACTGCTGTACACAAATCCACCACTAGATGTCATTCAAAATTCATTTCCACTCTTAAGACAAAGGGTTGATTTCTTGTATTTCACCTCAATGTTTTTTTTTTCCAACGAGAAAATCTTAAGAATTATCTCAGTTCTCAAATTTATTACAGCATCACAGTCTGGTTTGGAAGCATCACTGCTTCAGACAGGAAGGTGGTGCAGAGAGTGGTGAGAATGGCCGAAAAGATCATTGGCTGTTCCCTCCCTCCCATCCAGGACATAGCACAGAAGCGTTTCTTGAGCAGGGTCCATAAGATTATCTGGGACACTACACATCCTCTTCACGACCTTTTTTCCTTATTACCTTCTGGGAGGAGGCTTCGTGGTATCTGTAGCAGAACATCCAGATTCAGCCATAGTTTTATTCCATACAGCATTAACCTTGTGAACTTTCAAGCTTCCTCCTTCCGTTATATATTCAAGCTGGACAGTATTTAATATTTATTTGCTATGTATATGTAGGGGTGTGGGTCTATACATATGTTGTACATAGTATGTTTTAGGTGTGTGTCATGTATGTGTTTCACTTTGAGAGTGGGCAACTACATTTCATTTTTGATGGGTGCCATTGTGCCCACAGTAAAAAAAATGACAATAAAGGTTATCTTATCTTATCTTATCTTATCAAAACTGTAACTTTACTTCTACTTCAATATTGTATATTTCTGTCCCCCATAAAATTAAAGCGCCACTTCCATTTACCTTCGGAGGTTTTTACCTTCTTGGGAGCCTTTCACAGGAAATTCAATTGTAAAATAGTAAAGAAGAGATCAATATTCTCACCCAGTTCCAAACATGCAGTTTACAATGTGCTAATTGGTGCTTTTGTTCTTCGTTTGTCAGCAGCTAATGGCCAACCACAGAAATGTAGCTGGTTTTTCCACTGCTGGTTTGGATGGCTTTCCTTGGATCAAACAGAGAAACCGCCACCTCTCTGTGATCGACAAAGCATCCCTCCTTGTTTATCGCCTCTTTGGGGCGGCTTTAGGCCCTTTTCAGGGGCCCCAGCAGGGCAAAATTGGGCACGGAAGACAGAGCCCTGCCTTCCTGCATCCGTTCTGCTGCAATGCAAAACTGAAAGTCCAATTAACAGGCCTTCTTTGTGTTATGATATAAAACAGTCTATATCTGGACTGTATTTTACTGAGGTAGTAAACTTTATTTCGTACTACACAATACAGTTAGTTTAATTTTGGGAAATGTTTTTGGTCACTTTTCCCCTACCCAAATATATAAATTGTGTACAGTATGTATGCATGTGTACACATACACACGCACACACGCACACACACAGAGTACTGTGCAAAAAAATCTTAGGTGACCATTAGATTTGTTATTTTAGCAAAGCTTTAAGGGCCACCTGTAATTATTTTCCGGTATTGAATACCACATCTTGAATATCTAGTTTGTTTGTTGAGTTCCCTTTGAGAGTGGTATGTAGGTGTGTGTGTGTGTGTGTGTGTATTATCTTGAGGCTAAGCCTCCATTGAAGTTAATTTCTCTTCCTAACATTTCCCTGTTAAAGGTGGAGATTTTGGTATGTGTCTGATTGTAGCTAAGTAAAATGTTCAAATCAAGTTCAATTCATCAGAGCATTTTTTCATTTATAGATGTAGTTATTTTGCCAACAATATCTAAATTGTTGGTTATTGCAACCTTCTAAGATGTTTTTCAACATTCTAGCCCCGAAACCTTCTGGTGGTCTCCCATCCATGGTCAACCCCCACTTAGCTTTTTAAAGATCAGCTAGTTTTTGTTTGCCGCACTATTTTCTTTCGATGTTTCTCCTCCCCCATTCTGCTCTTTGATAAGTATTTCTACTCTCCTAGATTGCCTGTATCATCATCATTATCTGCTATGGGGCATCCAGGTCATATCCCTACACAGGTTTGGCAGTCTTCATCTTGATTTACTGCATCGTCCTGTTTATCATCTTCATGTTAGGATTACACCTCCAATTGACTTTCATCCACTGGGGATGGACGGTAGGTATTGGTTCTGTGGTAAGCCCTGTGGTGGGCTAAGGGATTCTTGTGTGTGTCTCTCTCAGTATTATTTAATAATAAGTCTAGCATCCATCCCTTGATCCATACAGACTCTATGCAACATTATTAAAATAATAACACTCAACTATGATGGTCCCCCAAACAAAACTATGGAGCAACCTCTTTAAAAGCAGGGAAGAATGGTGCCATCTGTCCTCCCTAGAGCAAGGTGATCCATAACGTGGGTCTACCATCAGGAAGGTCCATATTCCATGAACCATGAGGTAAAGGACCGTCTATAGGTCCTCTCTGGATATCTCAACTGCATGGGCAGATAACATTTTGCAAGGCATTATATGATATAACTGACTGCTGAGAATGTGTGAATATCAGTAAGAATTTCCACCTGCGAAGTATGTCATATCCTGGCATTCGGGTAAAGTGACCATAGGGAAGCATTTTTGCATTAATTTGCTTGTTATTGTCTTATTTTTGCATAATAATTCTATCTATACCAGAGGTGTCCAATCTTGGCAGCTTTACAACCTGTGGACTTCAACTCCCAGAATTCCCCAGCCAGGCATGCTGCTGGGGGATTCTGAGAGTTGAAGTCCACAAGTCTTAAAAGTTGCCAAATTTGGACACTCCTGGTGTACATGAAGATGAAAATCTCAAGGCAGTTATATTGAAGTTTTAGTACAGCATTGTACAGACAGTTTATTATATAAGATTACAATCTTAACATTCACCTCTCTGAACAAAAGAAGTTTAAAAAGGCATCACCCTAAAAACCTTTAAGTAGCTGAATATATTATATCATTTTATAAACTACCAACCACTATTAATGTCCAAATAATATTTGAATATTAATAGCAATCATCAGCCCAATATAAATCTCAAAAATAAGAAGTGCATTAATTTCTATCTGAGCAAAGAAAGATCTTATGTTAAGAGGAATCCATGTTTCAGATGTGGTGTAAGTCTGTATATAGAATTATCATCCAAACATGGTTTCCAAGGGGGATTTACTTCTGAGTAGCACGTATAAGGGTTGGTTTTGTGTTCTGACTAAAGCCTAACTCAGACTCCACCAAGATTATTCTTTTTCTTGCTTCTCCAAAGACTTTTATCCGTGCTGTTATTGGAGCAGTGGCCTTTATCGTCACCGCCATCATTGTCCTTGTTAGCCGCCCAGATGGAGCAGCCGTGGCTGGTGGGGTAAGTATTATATCTGCTGGTGAGGCAAATTTTGGAGGGATTGGAGAAGGGAAGCTGAGATGGTGACTTGACAGGAATTTTTAAAATTCAATAACATGCATCAAACAAGGCGAGGCTTGCTTATTCAGGGATCGCATTAGCTGGAGAATGCTATATATAGTAAGGGTAGGAAAACTGTGCTCATCCCAAAACTACATTTCCTAGAGTCAGCTGATATTGCCCATACTGGCTGTGACTGCTGGGAATTGCAGTTCAACATTTTATGGGGCTCACAGATTTTTCACTGCTCCTTTAAAAAAAAAATAGGGCAGTTGAAAAAGAACAAAATCCTGCAAGACACAGGAATGGGTTCCCTTCTTGCATTAAGACCAAACAACGAACACAATTTTTTATGCCAGTGTTATTGGTGAAGCAGGTTAGTAAAGCTTCTTTTTTAATTATATTTTTATTATTATATCATACCATGATACAGTACATTGTTTAAATCCTATCACGGTATAAAGGCCATTCAATTCAATTCAATTCAAATTTAATTTATATACCGCCCTTCTCCCATAGGACTCAGGGCGGTTCACAGCATATTTAAAAAACAGATACTATACACAAATACAAAAAATACAAAAATACAACAATATAAACCCCAATAAAAACCGAATTAAAAACCAAATATTGACGGCTGTGTTTCCAATTAAAATTGCTTCTAAA